ATGCCAGCAAGCGCAGGCCCCCCCCCCCCCCCGCGGGATCTACAAGCTCTAGGAAACTCACATCATGAGGTCCTCTTCCGTCGAATCGATCAATCTCAAATATCTCCCATCCTGCCACCTCAGAAGAAGACTCATCCGACTCGGGAGACTTGTACAAGAATTGTATCCCCATAATAACAACTTCCTGGGCGTCATTCAAGTATGCCAACAAGCCCATTCCCGGGGCAATTTCCTCAGCCCAGGAAAATGACACAATCCGTTCATTCATATTCCTAAATCCACTCTTGCTCTCACCATCAGGAATGGGCAAATTTGCACCCAGGCCCCAAAGGAGTTTCCAATTTCTGAATGTCCTCGTTCGAGACCTCGAGGACATTGCTCTTTTCTGATCAATGTACTCGCCCAACGCAACGATACTCCCCGAGGTGGTCATTACGGTCAAGATGGGCCGCAGGTTTTGCCCCAGGCCATTGGGAGACCATTCGACACGCATAGTCTGCCCCAAGGCTGAACCAGCTTTTGTCGCTTCCGCGTTTCCGACGCCTTTGAATACGAGGGGCTCCACGGAGCTGGAAGTAGGCAGGATCACGCCGGCAAAGGCGCATAATGGGCCGTTGATAGCTGGGTCCGGGCGGACGATGCCGCAAGCTGTGAGCGTGAGGGAGAACTGGGGTTGGAGGAAGTCGTCGTCAGCAGGGTCGTCGGGATTGTTGCCCGCCCGAGGGTATTCAGGCAGAAAAATGTGAATCGTGTCACCCGTTGCGACGGCTAGTTCGGCATCGCATGACCAAGCTATGGCGTGGAAAGCCAAAGGGCGGGCTTTCAACTCCAAAGGCTCGAGAGGCCTGGCCTACCCATTGATCAGCCTTGATGTGATTTATCATTGAAGACTGTTGTCACTTTTGAGAGTTGTGAAGTAGACTTGAATATGGGGACGCGGAACGATTCGCAAAAATGATTGTAATTACGGATCATTGTTGTCAATTGACGCAGGGTCGTGCCGAACGGTAGGCCAACGTTCTGAAGCTAATTTCGTTGCAGCTCTACTCACCTTTGACCTATCCATGTTTCTGCGGCGCAAACCAGCGCGGACCTTTAATTTTGATAAGATCACGTATTATCCATCGCATTGAATAAAAATGTATTTTACATATCGGAGCGATGATAAAAGCTAAACTGATTTGTCTGAGTCTTGCTCTCAGACAAAAGATGGATTGGCGCCACCCAGTGATGAAGCGTCAAAACCAACTTTGCTGACTAAGGCTTTTTTTTTTTGGGGGGGGGGGTAGCTCTGGTGGGACAATCGTGATGGGACAACATACGTTCGTTATACCAACATACCCCTCGCTCAACATATTTGTACCAAGTCTCATTTTATGCCTCTAGTTTACAGGGGTATACAAAACAGACGGAGAGAATGCGTGCCTATAAAGCAAACCTGCCCTTCTCCATTTCAACCTTGAACCAACGCCATCCCAAGTTCACTCTTGTGGATATGAACAGTAATTTGACAAGCATACCCCTCGGTTCGACAGGGCCATGCGTTCTCTATTTTTCCCTTTCATCTTTATTAAATTAGCATTCAGTCGTAGCTATATTTCTGAGAAGGAACCAATTGCCCACAGCAGACCACAGCCAGCCAGAGCAGTTGCACCGACAACCTTCTTGGTCCACCACTTATCGTCTGTCAGGACTGTGGCGCCTTGAATCTTGGTTACCGGCTCAGTGGAAACGCTGACCGGCACAGAGGACGTGTTCCTGGGGGCTGCATCCTCCTCAGCTTCCTTCTTCCGCAGAACAGCAATGGTTTTACTGAGGGCAAGTAGCTGCTCATCGAGGGACGAGCTCGAGTCGCGATCAACCTCCAAGTTTTGAATGTTGCCGAAAAAATCAGTAATGAGGCGGCTGCGTGCACCCTCAGCACCACCAGGGAATAGGTCGTACCGAACTCCAGCATGAGAGTGGATCTTTTCGTAGTCGTAGCTGTCGAAGAGTTCGCCTACAGTCCTGGGGCTGTTCAAATCCTTGACCTGGTTTTCGAGGAACTCCAGGTTATAATAGGTGTATCGATCGATAACAGCGACGCCAATGTCATTATCGGCGTGATGTGAATATGATGATTGGTCGAGCTCGGATGACCCAGTGGCGATAATGTTCGGCGAGTACAGTCTGCTGTACATGGTGTTTGCTTGGCAAGTGTCAATCATGAAGAGAATCTCGTGATATCTTCTCAAGTCTCAAATTAGCGTTGACTTGTACAACACAGCAGACTGAACAGTTCTTGGCGAGTTACGAACCTCTTCTTCTCCCACATTTGTTGGAAAGCATCTGCAAGATCAAAAGAACCGATTTCCTCGGCGTCCTGGAACTTCAAGAACTCATTCCCCCCGTGCCCCGTCATATACACAAGAATATTGCTTCGGTCGTCGGTCAATAAGCGTTTGCTGCGAGGCATCTCATCGCCAACGCGGTCTGTCAGCAGTCGTATAAAGTTTTCAACCGTGACCTCGTAGCCACGATAGTCGACCTCGATATTGTCGCCGTACAGATCAACAGCTCGGTCGGAATTGCTGTAGACGGTGCCGGGGAACGCATTGCGTGGGTTGCAGGCCATATCGTCAGGAAGCATGAGGATGATTTGTGAATCTGGTATGCCTAATCGCTTGACTGTTCTGTATACGGATAACACATTTGCTAAATGGCGGTAGTTGAACCAGAATCGAGACGTGCATACGAGAACAGCCCAGTTGCTTGTATGCTCCGAAAGGCCTGTGGTGGCGAGCATGGCCACAGCCATGGCTGCAAGCTGCAGCTGGGAACTTGTAAACTTCATCGTAGAGCACAGTGACACAGTAACATGGGCGCACGGAGGACCGGTAAAAATTCGTGCCCAAGAATTGACAATGATCACGACTTGGTAGGAAGAATTCCGGAGGCTGCAGAGCGCCCGGAGATGTGGTGATGGTCGGACACTGGCTGACGCGAAGTGACAGATGGCTAGGGGTGGGCTTACAAATGGGCACGGGACATCGGCCAGATTAATTAGCCAGCGCTAGCTGGCGGGGCACACCTGCCCTTTCAACCACCTCCCCCAGAATGCGAACGTTCAATACATATGATATATCCCTTTGAGTGCGGTAAGGTGCAGGTATAGTCTTCTACGGGGATAATATCCAATGAGGATTAAGAAATAAACAGATACAGTGCCCATTTATTTATCACTAATAATGCTTGGTACATTAATTAGTAGCGTCTTTGGCCAAGATACAGGTAAAAATACCTAGGTACTTAGAAAGGGTGCTCTGGGGCAGATACAAAAGCTGCACCTTACCGCACTCAAAGGGATACAGCTCGCTCGCGACTCAATGCCTCTTTATGCAACCCGCGGAGACCTTCATTACTTCGTTTTTCTATTACTATCCGTGCCTGCGACTTGGCTGCTAAAACTATCTTGCAAAGCTAATCGGCACACCAAGTCAGGAACCCTTTCTCGCGGTCCAGCTGTGTCTCATCAACCGGATCACTGCCGTCAACCTCAGCCAAGGGTATCTATCGAGTGACAATATCAAAACTAAGCTAGGGCCCTGGTTCCGACCATTCAGGTACATTGACTTCATCACAATTTTCGTTTCTGGCTCCCGAAAACGCCCAAATATTATCACCATAAAAGCCAGCATCAATAACTTACCAACCGCCAAATTATTTCTTCACTCAAAATCCATAAAGTCGTCGTCGTCATCTTGTTCCATCATAAAGCTCAGAAAGGATGAACCAGGGTGACCCTCACCACAGCACGGGCAGATTCCTTCGTCATCTGTCTCCCAATCAGGGTCGGCAATCTCATGTCCGCCTCGCCGGGAGAATTGTACCCAATATCGCGCGTCGTCGTCACGACTGAGCGGGACTCGTTTCCATATCACCTTGTCTGGGTCTCGTGACGATGTCGGGTGGCCTTCTTCGACGGGAGCGGGCGGCATGGTACCGATTCTGGCGTGGAAATGTCCGTGATGACTGGGACCATCCATTTCATCATCCTCGTCATACTCGTCAGAATCGTCATCATCTTCTCTGCCCTTGAATGCCCTGACAACCCTGGCACACCAACGCTTACCGGACAGTGGCTGCAGATGCTTGGCATGGGCAACGAATGATGGCGATCCATCCAAATATAGACCCTCGTCCTTTAGCATACCGCTTAATTCCGCTGAAGCCTTCATTCCGGCGTCGTCGAATGGCATGCCTGTTACTTGAAGCTCGTTAAGTGTACATCCCAGCTCATGGGAGGCAACCTCATGCAGCTCAGAGCCAGAAAAGGGGAGAAGCGTCTCCGAAAAATTGACGAGATCTAGTCGCAACGACAAAAGCCCTGGGAGTAGTCGAGGCCTAGGATTATTCTTGTCTTTGTAGTTCGGATCGTACGGTGCACGGAGGGCCATCAAGAAGTCTGTCACCTGAGACCAAGTATAACATCGAAAGCCCCCTCTAATGAGCGGTGGTTCCTTTGGTCGTAGCCGAACTTTCAGTAGTTGATCCTTTTTGAGGTCAGTATGATAGCCACGCTCAAGTCGATGCTTCCGGCGTTGGTCGTCGTAATAGCGGGCGATGATCCGCAGATTTAGATGTGTGATTTGGTTCCGGTACTGAGAGCTCAGTTCGGAGAAGTTGCGAAGTGCTTCAGGAGTAGTGAAAGTGAAGTTGTTCGACTCCCAAAAGTATCGAGTGCCTTCTGTACGAAGAACCCTGCAAGTGGCCAGAAAATGTATCGCAACTTGATTGCCACGCGTCTTTTCCTTTTCGGAAAGATGCTCATGAGACAGCCTAGACAAGGGATCAATGATAGGATAAGGGCTTTTCATAGCGAATTTTAAGATCCTTAGAATAACCTCGGTTGGCAAACTAGGGCAACCAAGCTCGTGTGCGGACATAGAAGCCCGAGTCCGACGTCGAAGAGCAGGGTTCTGTTGTATCAAGTGTGCTTGAGCCACAGGTGACCAGGATATACCGTTTTCCCGTAGAATCCTCTTCAATCGCATGTTCTCCTCTACAAGAATTTGGTTTGTACGTCTCATGGGATGATTAAAGGATGCCTGTGCTTGGTCTTCCTTATCACGACATTCCCAAGGAAAGGCCATCTGCGTCGAAGTTAGCACACAACCGGAGCATCTCCCAGAAGAATGACAGTTAGCGTCATACCGTTGCGGACCCGGCCATAATGGGAACTTCTCTCTTCGAAGTAAAAGTTATGGTATACAGTCGTATTAGGGTAATGGAAGTCAGGGCTTCGTGTTTTGTATGTGTCACCGGCTAGACACTTGCTGTTGTATTGGGAACCCACGAGAAACGAAACTGAGTACATTTAAAGTCAGTTGACTTGGAAACAGAGCAGGCTGGGCGGCCGTGGCTGGGATGGCGTGAGAAGATGGAACAAGAAGTCTTCCCGAAAACAGAAATTGAAAGCAAAATGATTGAAACGCAGCCCGTGTGTCGTAGATGGTTCACCTACGCGCAAAGAACCCTCCTTCAGTGAGTGAACTGGCCGTTGCCAGCTGCACCCTGCCGAAAAAAAAAAAGAAGTCGAAGTTTACAGGTCAATGAAGTCGTACATGGCTCCTGAAATCCAAGTCCCAAATATCAGGTAGCGTGACACAAGATCCACGACACGATGTTGAGCAACCCCGAGTGTCTACCTGGATCGGTTCGAATGTCGGATTGATGATGATAAGTGAGCAGGCGCCACCGACTGACCGGGTGGGGGGTCAATAGCCCGTAGCCAATCCAAACAACACTGTCCGTCTGATAAGGCCGCAGAGATGACTCGCTCGAGTGCCTCTAACTTTGTATGGGGGAGCGGGACGGTGATGTAGATGAGAATGCAAACTTTGGGAGAGAGGGATTAAGTTGCAAGCTGTGACATCTAGAACTGAGACCAGGACCTGCGTTCGGGGTTGAACATAAATTGTCTCAAGGGTCCTCCTGGTCGTTGCAGCTGATTCGCTTCGGCGCACTTGCCTGACAGTCAACCATAAGACCTCGCAATTGGTCTGTTTTGGCAATTTGGGTCAATGAACGGCATGAGTGGAGTGGGCATGGCTCGGACGCACCTTCTTCCTGGCGTCAGCAGAACCGGAGAGGGCAAGTACTGGCCAGAATGATTTGTTCCCATTGCGTCATGTGACAGTCCCAAGTATGTACCTCCACCTCGAACGAGTTAGTATTTGGTCAGCATTGTCGGCAATTATTACTCGAATATGACATGGTGGATTGCTTGTAATGACCAATTCGAGGAAGCCGCTTTTTGTGTTTTCAGTATTGCCGAAGAATTGCGAGCGGACAGCACAAAATAGTGGAATCTCATGTTTCGATTTAATGACTTGACATCCGAGGCATGTCTCAGCGATGTGTTTCGGGAAATGACATCAGGCCATGATCGACCGTCCAATGCCGATATAATGCAAGACCTAAGCAGTTGAGACCACCCTGCAGAGTATTCGTGCTCGATTTGTATAAAGTATGACCGAATCTAGGTCCAGTAATTAATATCCACGAAGTGCCTTGGAACATCAAAGGTCTTTAATATTTGCCACGCTGCGAAGCTTGACCCCCTCAGTTACCTGTCCATAAGGGGCTCGATTTCTTTATTCAGAGTACGGATATCATTCTAGTCATATTGCAAAAAAACTGCTGCTTAAGACAAATTCCAATATGCTCGCAGTTTAGGTTCTACTTTGTGTAGTGGCAGGCTTTCAAAGCTGCTTCCCATAGTCCTCCTTCCAAATCTTGTCCCATTTCTCCTTATCTACAGCAAATTCCCGAACGTAGTCGAGTTCCAGCTCATGCGTTCGCCTTCCCAGAAGAACCAAACTATGTAGCGGGGGCCCGAGCAGATCATCAGTCGAACAAAGCTCTTCCAGAGTCCCGGCAATGAACTTCTCTGTTTTCCCGCCCACTCGAGCCGCTCCAATCGCCAAACTATCACGGGTATATGCACCTTCCCTCTTTTCATCTTCAATCTCAATCATCTGCTGAGCGCACTGCCCTGCGGTCATGTATCGTGGGGGTTCATAAACAAGTCTTCCTCTAGCCATATTCTCCAGACTTTGTTCTTTGACTTTGATATCCACCAAAACCAACGTATGCAAACCAATATTACGATTCTCCTTGATACGGTCGTAGAAAGAAGCAGGCTTCCATGAATCTGTAAAGAACACCATGGACACTGTTTGTCCAAAGTTATATAATTGGAGGCCGCAAGCGCCGATGCCGGACATGATGGATGCGTTTGGTACAGTTCGCACAGGGATAGACAGTTCGCGTGCTCGAATAACTAGATCGGTGTGTGTTGTCGCACTGCGTTCTCTATCAGCCTCGATTGTGGGCGGTGGCCAGCATTCATCTGCTTACCCGAAGGGATCGCCGACGACAAGGAAAGCAACGTCTTCGTTTTGGGCGTTGCGTAAAATCTCGTCGCTGTTTGATTCGACCATTTCACGGTCGGCGATTGTTATTGAGCGACCATAATACTCCTCCTGCGGAAAAAAAAAAGAGTTCAGCCAAATTCCCCGGATCAGGATGACGAAGGCTTACAAGCACAGATTGGTCCACAAGCAAGATGCTGGTGTAGGCTTCCAGATACACTCTGGACGCCTTCTTGACGACTTCCAGACCCTTCACCGTGATATCGGTCTCGTCGGATAGACCGAGTCCCACAAGATACAACATTCTGCCCGGTCGAACTGTTTCCGCTTATTGCAATGCTGAGAAAAAAAAAAGGGAACACAAAAAGACTGGTTGACGTTTGGAGTCGAGACACAAAAAATGCCCCTCCGCGGGGTAGTTTTCGACACACCAGACATACCAGTGTCAGACCTGCATTGGCAGCTCGGCGCGTCCCAGACCCATCTATGGCCATCTAACACCAGCAGAATCCCCGTCCATTTAAAACGATCCACCAACGCAAGAGCTCAGTCTTGCAATATCCCCTAAATGCAGCGAAGGCGGCAGCGAGGTCACGACAGGGATTTTAAACCAATTAAAAGCTAGTATTTAAAAGGTACTTCATTTTATCCTTAATTTATATGATAAGGAAAGTCCCCATAAACTTTCGTATTACAAGAGACTACATCACACATATCATCACCCCACTATTATTAGGCCTGATACAGTTATTGGTGATGTCACTTAAGGTTTACGGCCGGTGGCAGGGGCGTTATGGAGCCCGTGACCTCACTGCCGCCTTCGCTGCATTTAGGGGATCCCGACACAGGACGCAGTGAAAACATCAACAGGCCGCCGCGTCGCCACCATCATGACCGACTCCAAAAATGGCAGCGCATACGGTGCCCCGGCTGGCGACACTGATTTTCGAAAGACGTGGGATCTAGACGAGTATGCGGCCAAAGCCAAGGAACGCGAGGCCAAGGAGAAGGAGGAGGCAAAGGCGCGCTACGAAGCAAAGCTCGCTGGCAAGAAATACCACAAGCCATTAACTGGCGATGAGACGTACACCACGGCCAGGCGGAATATCATCGACCTCACTGCACAAGTCGGCAAGACGCAGCTCGTGCCCGCCGGCGCCGGCGTCGGAAAACGCGGACGAGGCGCCGGTTTCTACTGCGAGTCGTGCGACCTCACATTCAAAGACAACAAGCAATTCATCGAACATTTAAATACTACGCAGCATCTGTTGAATACCGGCCAAACGACGGAAGTGAAACGTGCTACAGTGGAGGAGGTTCACGAGCGCATTTCGTACTATATTCGGAAGAAGGAAGAGCTGGAGAAAGAAAAGGCCACGAGCCTACACGAAAGGCTGCAGATACGAGAGGAGGAGAGGGAAAAGGAGCTTGAGGAAAGGCGGCAACGAAGAAGAGATGAGGCGGAGAAGAAGCGGAAGGAAAAAGAGGATGCTGCCAAGGTCAAGACAGAGTATGGTGAGGATGTGCGTATCGAAGGAGAGCATGACGAAGACGATATGATGGCTCAGATGGGCTTTACCGGATTTGGATCATCCAAAAAGTAGTGTTTTCTAAACATGAAAAACACACCTAGTGATTAATTATACATTTGATACCCCGTGGCAACCGCTGGACCTAGATTTACTCCTGTGGGGGGAAGACCGCTCGCGAGTGAAAGGCAGTTGAGTCCTTACCAAAGAAGCGCACAAATTGCACACTCTATATACATCGACTTTGTTTAGAATCAATTGAGTCTTTGCGCCAAATGTTGCCGCATGCTGCTTGACTCGTTGGTGACAGAGTTCGGTGAGGTTCGGCCGAGCAAAGAGTTGACAGTCACCTTGGGTCACCAAGCTGCATCGGCCTGCCCCACGCACTTTACACCAAAGTAACTCCATATGCAGAAGCTGGACAGATGGCCAGGGGTGTTGCATCTCCAAATCAACCACGTATCGTTCCTTGGCATCACCGTCAGCTACCCCGGATAACACGCTGCTGTCCCATCCTGGAAGGCGATAAAAGGCTAGGCAACGCCATTGAGGAGGAAGTGCGCAGTCTCGGTCACGAAGGCTTCAGCATTCTCACGTGTGCATTTGGGCGAAGCATCAACCAGAAGCCATCACGCTGAGCTGGGCCTTGGCGCTTTTGAATTCCTCAACCAACGCCGCGAGCCAATGTAAAGGACACTGCAGACTGTGGTGACTTGTTCAACTGGCTTGAATACGCACAACCAGCACGACTTGCGCAAAGCTAGTGGTCATTCCAAGCTTCAACTGGGTGAGCTTCCAGCTTTCCGGCCCGCCGGCCCGCCTGCCCGCCATCATGGATGCAGCATTTTTCTTGTCCCTTTCAGCGGGAATTGTCTCTGTCTTTCTGATGAAATATGGCCTCCAGGCACTCAGATGGCTAGCCTCAGCTCTTTACTACTCTATTCCGACCCGTTATAAAGCTGCACAAAGATCTGAGGATGATCATATCCAGATTCTAGTCCTGGGCGATATTGGGAGGAGTCCACGCATGCAGTATCACGCCATCAGTGTTGCCAAGCATGGCAGGAAGATTGACATTGTGGCATACAAGGGTGAGTTTTGCGGCATGCTTTCCCTTCTTCTATT